TGGCGGACAACTGTGTTGAAGGTGGAGCTGTAGTCAGTGAAGAGTATCCCGGTGTAGGAGTCTCCATTTTCCAGGCGAGAAAGGGAATAGTGGAGGGCAGCTGCGATAGCGTCTGAGGTGGCCCTGTTGGGCTGGTAGGCATACTGTCATTTTTTTTCCAAGCTGACAGTTCCTGTGCTGTGGATATCCTTTTTGTTCCCCTGTCCTCTTGGTTAGCCTGTCTATTCACTTGTCCATCCTCATCCTCCTGCTCTCCTGAGTCCTGTCGTTAGTTTGTCTTTGTACCTGTTTGTCCAGGCCTCCTCATCCATCTCAATGCTATGTTGATTATGTATGTACATGGACCTTGTTATGTTGTCCTTTGTGTTTTGTTCCATTAAACCTCTTTTTTTTTTTTTTAGCACCTGGGTCAGCACACTTGAGTCCTACCACAGTTCTCCCTCACCCTCCTGGTGAGGGGGACTAAACTGTAACAAAGAATGAAGATTAGTGCCCACTTCATTTTTAATGAGCTGCTCACAATCGCACTCTCTCAAAACACTTCATAATAATTGGGGTGAGTGCCACTGGCCTGTAGTCGTTCAGGCAGGTGACCGGGCTCTTCTTGGGAAGGGTGACGATGGTTGTGGTCTTAAAGCAGGTGCTCTCCCTCAGCCAGATGCTCTGGCTGAGGGAGAGGGTGTGCTTTGAGTGTTGACGCATCTTTGCTTGTGACAGTATGTACTATACTTAAATGCCAGCAATGATTTTTTAGTGAAATTTGCAATATTTTGCATAATTTGGCTTTTGACTTAAAGATGACAGATGAGAATACATATTAATTTTAACAAGTCTAAAAGCGCCTACAGACATACTAAATGCTAAATTTAAGCATGTTAACTCATAATAACAGTGCTATCATATTGTAGTTTGGCAAGTATGATGTTGACCATTTTCACCATAATATTTTAGTGCAGTAGCAGGCTGATTCTGGCTAATTTGTACTAAACCCAAAGCACATCTGAAGCTTGGTTTGCAGGTATTTGGTCATAAACCAGAATATTAGACAAATCAAAATTTGACCCAGTGTTGGTGCTAAATTAAAAGGGGATTATTATCATCCTGTGAGGGACACAAATGTCTGCCAGTGAGAAATGAGAGGAGGTGGGACTTGGGAACAGATGACTGCACAGCAATGTAGCATGTTAGCTACTGTTCCCTCCCTCATTGTGACCCCTCCTCTTCTCTGCCTCTCTCCCGTTTGATAGTGTTTGCCTGCTATCTGACCACACAGAGCCCTGGGAGTGGAGAAGAGGATGATCTCTGATTTTCTGCAACTGCTTGGCTTCAGATCATGGGCTTGGGTTGGACTATGACTGTGGAGCTCTCTCTACTTGTTTTTTTCTGTCTCATCTGGCAAGTACCACAAGTATAGTCTCTGTGCATGTGCTTACGTGTGTGTCCATCCAGCAATATGCCTACTTTTGATAGTCTCAGGTCTAGCAGCAGGAGTGGATCATCATGAGGGGGGGTCACCACCAACGAAGGTGTGGGTGTCAGCACCTGTTTAGAAAACTGCTCGGCAAATGTGGCTGCTGCTTTTCCCAAATCAGAGGTACGTACAGTAGATGTTCTGCTCTGCAGGAGAACTTGTACTAGCATGTTTTCTGACTGCTGAATAAAGTCTGCACACAAAGTTTAAAACTAGCTGTTTAATTACTTAATCCCCCTTTATTTTTGTAATAACAGAAACAAAATAAGTGATCGGTGACGTTCAGACAATTTAAAGGAATGCTTCACTGTTGAGGATGTTTTTCCTAAAACTTTCTTGCCTTTATAGATACATAAATGTCGGAAATATGCATAATAATGGTTGAAAAAAGTATTATTACCTCATACCTGTAGACCCTCACACACTCAAGGTACATGCCCTTCAGCTAGTCTGCTATTTTTTACTCTTGGAAAAGGAAATGGTTCACTATTATCCTCTACAAAGTGGCTACTAGTTTTCCTGGGGTTCAGGGTAATGTTAGCATCCTGTGGTTTGCTTGTTTATGTTAGTTTGTGCTTGTTTATTGGTTGTAAAATGGTAAAGTCACACTATACAGTAGCTTGCACTGTTATGATGCACAATGACCAAGAAATGGTTACTTTTCTGACAGTAGGGAGAATTAGCTTGTTAGCTTAGTTTGTGATTTTTGCACATCTTTAACAGAGGACAAGGTAAAGACAGTTCCATTCCTATTTTTTATAGAGCTGATTAACAGGAAATCATCAGATTCCTTTAGAAAGGCCATAATACAGCAACAGTAAGCACAGCAAATGTGTAATTCATGTCCCAAACAGACAAGTCAGTGATGGAGTCACATCTGGAGCTCTACAGGGGAGTCAATGAATCATACACACACACACACACACACACACACACACACACACACACACACAGATATCAGCTGTTGTGTAATAACAACTTTTCTCTTTTCTTCCTGATTTATAGTGTTAATCACTTATATAGCTCACTGCAGCAGTATCGCAATTTTAAAAGTAGCTAAAGCGTTTTAGCTGGGAAGAAAACGCTAGGAAAGAACGTTTTCTTTTAGTTTATCAAACAATATAGGACATTAAATCACACACATCTTCAAAATACCAAGGATAGCAAAATAAAGTCTGGAACTTTCATTGTTGTCCTTGATGAAGTCAAGAGTGGTGTATTCATGTCTCTTCCAAGTATCTACCATTTAGCTACCATTACAAGAGGAACCAGTCAGTGAGTGGAGTTTTTTACCATTTAAAAGCCTACTGGAGGTTAAACCTTATGTATTTTTTAAATATACTTCCTTTTAACTATATAACCAAACTAAATATTAGGTCTATTTGTTGTTATGTTCACTTACTGTATATTTTTGATAAGTCTGATAACCTTTTGTATAGTTTGTCAGTTTTGTGGCTCCATATGTGGCAGGGGGCAAAACTGAAAGTGTGTTCATTTATACATTACAAACTGTAAATATTATGAGATGAAAGCATTCGTTTACATTACAAAGTCTTCTATTTTTTTATGTTTTTGTTCCAGCTGTAGGGTTAGTTACTTTTCTTCATATTGTTAGGTTATTTTTTAGTTAGATAGATATTCAGAGATTTGTTGTCTAGGAATGTTTAGTGCAGACAGGGTGACTAGCTTAGGCTGTTAACTGTTCAGCCTGCAGTGCAGACTGCAGGCACGTCAAGGTTACAGGAAAAGAGCTGTTAGTGTCAACTGTAATGCTAGTCTTAATATTTGTCTTAATGTGTAAGGTTATGTCCAATTGTTTTAGATACACACCACGAAAACAACAGTCACGCACCTTGACTTTTCCTCATGTTTTGGCTAAACGTTATAGCAGCTGCAAGGCTTGCTTATCGGGTGACGTCACGGTTCGACAGCCCAGAAAGGATTAATATTGTATAGCAATGCTTGGTTCGGGGTCTTTTCTGTTTTCCGGGCTGCTTTGGCAGGCTGGGGGTTGGAAGATCTCTGGACTGGAAGTGTGAATTCTTGCCTGTGACTCTTTGAATAAACCAGCACGGTTATATTTTTTATATACTCAAGTGGTCTGAGTCGTCCCTCGGAGTTCCTGGTTTGAAAGAACCGGATGAGGCTTTATAATGGTTTACAGCCTTTAATATGCATTCAGATGCAATGTGGGCTGCTGTTCTTCTCTGTGTAGATATACAGCATGTGTGTGGCAATGGGTAAACACAGAAAGTTATTTCCTTAACTTGTTGTCCTACAATAGTGTGACACAGTCAAAGGAAGGGCAGCTGTACACCCCCCCCCCACACACACACAGGCACACAAACATATCCCATTACTGCCCCGACCCTTAAATCCTTTGTTGTTCCAGTTGCTCAGCGGGTGATTATGGAGCAGCTCCCCTCTGAGCTGCACTGCACAGACAGACCCTGCAAATAGAGGTGTGAAAATGAAAACCGCCATGTGTTGAGACACTTTGCTTTCTCTCCTTTATTCAAAAACCTTAATCAAAGCACTCTGACATTTTTCTTTGGGATGGACATTGCCTGTGTGATGTGACACTCAGTAGTGCTGTTAGAAAAAGTGTTTACTTCCCCTCTGGCTCTAAAAAAAAAACCTTTTATCTGTTTGTGTGTATGTGGATTTGCTTGTTTTTGTGTTTATATAAAGACTAGCAACTACAGTCAGAATAGCACCTTTTATGTGTAATCTGGTGGTGAAGTGTTTCACTTTATCTGGCAGTATGTCCAACAGCTATTTATAAAAGCAGGGGGAAAAAACCACCTCCAGATTAAGTATGTTTGAGAAACTTACTTGGAAATTTACTTGAAAGTCCTGCCAATTGTCTCACTGTCTCATTACGTAAACATCACTGCCTCAGAATATGCCATGAACAGTCCATTAGCCCACCAGTGTGTGTGTGAGGTCATCACTGCCAGTATGTGAAGAAGTAAACATGATGACTAACAAACCCAAAAGTGTTTAGTTAGACAGAACACTTAACATGTGCAGTAGCTTACATATGAGCTCAGCCTTGTTGCACTGTTTGACTGCTGTATGCTTTGCTTGGCTTGTCTTAATTTGAACTTGATTGTGAAGCAGACATAAGTGATACTTCCCTGTGTTTTGTCTGGACTCTGGAAACTGTTAGCAGATCGCCACCTGACGCCACTGCAGGGACCCGAGAACCTGAGATGTGCCGAGTTCAGTATTCTTCAGTTTGCTTACTCTAAACTCAAACCTAAACTCAAGACTTAAGCAGATCTTCAGTGAGAGGAGACTGAGTAGAGACCGAGGAGGTTTTCATGCAGCAAGCATAAACTATGTAGATTGACCATAGTTTACGAGTAAGAGTCCACAGCAGAAGCCTGCAGAGCCATGGGAAAAAGGATGTGGTGGAGTGAGGATGTCCAGCTAAAATGTAGATACTGTAACTGGGTTGGCTTTCAAAATGCAGGATGTTATCACATACAGTATGAGGATGAATTGTAATCATTCTTGTCATAGCTTTCTAGCAAATACATTTGATTTACTAAGGGTTGAGGTCAGGTTCCTGCCTGATCAGAAAGATACTCACTGGTCTGACCCATTGACTGTACAAATAATGGACAGGCTAAGAGCTCCACCAAGTGAGGCCATGATGACTTGATTGCTCCCTGGTGGCTGGTTGCAGTATAGGTCATAAATCCTGCCACCCTCATATTAGCAGATGACATGAGCCACGCTAAAAACTCAAAGAATAAATCAAAGTTATTTTTCCTGGAGGTCACTTCTGTGGTTTTTGGTAAATATTCTCACACTAATGTGTGTACAAGTGGTCATTTTTCTGGTAAGTTAGTTTTTAATACATTAGTTGATGGTATAAAAAAAAGGTGTATTTCACTTGATTTGACAGCTTTGATTGGCAGCCTGATGCTGATAAAAGAAAGAAATGAACTTGGAGTTTAAATTACTTTCATGGATAGAGATAAGTATTAAATAGCATCTGCATGTCTGTATTTCTAAGGTTGCATTCACAGGATGCACAGGTGCTGACACTCTCTGCAGTCCTAATGGTGATCCAGCTGTTACATAAGCATGTCAAACAAACATGACCAGCTAAGCTGCTCAGCTCAGGCGTGGATGTCACAGTGACCATCATGCACCATTAGAGTTGAGTTCAGTTAATGCATTTGCAGAAAAGCCTACAATAAGGTATACTTGTTGCATCACCTCAGCAGATGGTGACATGGTTATAAGCAGTCCTGTACCAAATGACCTGACCTTGATTGATTAACAAAAAAAAAAAAAAAAGGCAGACCAGATGGTCCAGGGTAATAAAATGTTCTGCAGTATGTTGTGTGTATGTGAGCATGTTCACTGTAAATGTTTGCAACAACATCAGTTGTTCTGGTCTTAGTTGAGGATATGGTTAGTAAAGCCAGTCTGACAATTTGGTCTCTTCTCATTGTACCAAGTGAAACACAACTACTGTGGAAAGTGAACGGAAATACAAGAGAGAGACAACAGCATGCACTGAAGGTTGTGAGACAATGGAATTGACAACACAAGCTTGTACTTTGTGACACAGTAGCTGCCAGCGTTCAGAGTGTAGGTCTATAACTCTGATCCAGACAGATCTCAACAACTATTGGATGGATCACCATTATATTTTGTACAGTGAAATGTCTGGACAGCAATCAGTTGGATTGTCATTAAGTTCTTTTCCCCCTACACTTTTTTTTACTATCAGCGTAACCTTTGAAAACTGTCTCAGCTGTTCACTAGCTCAGCCTTCACCCCAAGAATCACCAGCCACATGTACACTCTCAGTCTTTTCTTATCACTTGCACACCCACACCCTCCTTCACTTCCTTCTAAATCATCCCTTTATAGAAATGAATTTGTGTTGTTTACTGTGTGAGTGAAGGGCCAGAGAATGACTTAGTTTAACTGGAGCCTTATTTGCATCCAGCCTTTTTTCAAATGTCTAGATTGTTTTGTAGGAGACTGAACTTTTGCCAGTATTTTAATATGATAAATATTTAGTAATGTTATTTGAATAAAAGTATCACAACTAAGTCTGTGTCAGAACAGTGAATTTAATATTTTTGTATTTAGGACTTTTAGACTTTGCTAGTTGCATTAAATAAAAGTGCACTGAAATGGAACAGAAGATAAACCACAATTTTTATAAATTTCCTGTGTCTTGTGTTTAACAGTTGTGTCAGGGCACTTTTGGCTTAATGGCTGAGCCAGATTTTCACTGACTGCTTGAAAGCTAGCCATTATGGTTACAGCTCACAGCACATTTGCTGACAGGGAATCATGGCTTCTGGGAAGAGTCCAAAACAACCAAACAGGGGCTCGTGAAAAATTCTACTTTGCTACAATCAGCAGAACATTGTGAAATGTTAATATTAGGGTTCTTGATTAAAATAGGGTGGTTGTGGATTAGGTACCAGCCTGCTTGTTTCATTTGCAAAATAAAAATTAATTGTGTCAAGTACATAGGTAGATGGTTGGATATCATGATAAGCATCACGCTTCTAGTACTGGGATTCTGGCAGCTGTGAAAAACTAACACAGAACTTAAATAAAAAAAGCCACAGTGAGGAAGGGTCAGCACAACACCAGTTTGCAGCAAACTCGGTGTAAAAGGGACCATAGAGAGAAGGGACACCTGTGTGCACAGCATGCATATACTGTAGATGGTGCCCTGCGCAAACCACTTGGTTAGTGGAGAAGTCCAGCTGCTTACAGTTTTCTTCTGTGTGTGTGTAGCAGAGTCATACTCTGTAGTGGGCAGTGATGGCAGCACCGCCCCATCAGTGAGCTCTGGAGCACACCAGGCCTCACGCAGTTCCAGTCCCTGCTCCCACTCGTCATCTGGAGGATCACGGCATCCTGTCAGTGCCCTCAAGAAATGGCTCACCATGCCTGTCTGCAAACTGAGCTCTGATGCCAGAGGAGGAGCGGGAAAAGTCGAGAAGCAGATGTGCAGGTCAGTCAGGAGGCACTCGCCATCATTTCTTTCCCACAGTGAAGCGCAACTGAGGCCTCTGGAGCCAAAAGATAGCTACACAATCTTCCCCAGTGGAGACAAGGTGAGAGAGATTTCACTTTAATCTATAAATGTATTAATTCTGAGAAAACACAGTTTTATCTGCTTGTTTCTAATGGTTGTTTATGTTTGTGTACAGGTATGGAGAGACAGTCTGTTGAGTCCAGCAGCTCCTTCTCAGACACAGCTGTTCAATCAGAGTGACTTATCTGAACTCCTGCAAGGCACAGACACACAGAGTCTAGTAATGTCTCGCTTCTATTCTTCTTTATTATGATCTGTTCTATTTTATTCAAGTCCAGCCAACACTGCACTGTACTTTTTTCTGTTCTGTCTTGATCTGTACTCTTCTGTTCTGTTTCATGCAGCTTTATATTTTATTTATATATAGAATGTTTTGGTAAGAACCTATATTGAAATGAATTGAGAAAAACACATTTGAAATTTTCTCCTCAACAGTGAACCCTTAGATAATGTAGATTTCATAATCAAATAATCTATGCTTGTTTGAAACACATGCACTTAAATATCAAACTATTTATTATAAGCATCCCCCCACTTCCTCTTCTGTTGCACGTAAAAGGGCTCCTATTTGCACACATCTTCTGACTTCCACCAATTGTGCCAAATAAATAAAACATAATTTCATATTTTGCTGCCTATTTTGTGTGCATGCTTACCCACAAGCACACACATGTACACACACCACTAATTTCTGAAAACCCTATACTGTACTGAGTACTTCTGGTGCATGGAATCAATGCTGTGGGCTTTTTCTAGACAGCATCTGGAAATAATCAACTGGCCAAGCTGTCTGTACTAGGCTGTTGCAGGGTCAGGGCTGGGGATGCAGAAGTGACTGCAAAAAATAGAGGAAGAAGAGGCCTGCAGGCAAGGTGTGAAACTGACCTGTGGATGTTAGGCAGCTCTTTTTAAAGGATGACAAATTCCAGTTTCATTAGCTTTCTATAACACATAAGCAGAAACTGCTTTGAAAGGGTTGAAACCTTTTACCTACCAAGCCTGCTTGATAAATGACTGTCCTCACTTTAAACCTCTCTGTCCAAAAGACCTCTGAGATTTCATGAATGCCTTCAGCTTCATGTTTACTTTGGCTCCTTACTCCTTTATTGTTGTGCTGCCTGGATCAGTGTATAAATCAGATTGCAAGATGGAAGCTGTGGTGGTGACGCTGATCTCGTGGGACCTTGGTGCAGTTCATTTAGAGGTTAACAACAGCTTTATACTTCTGGCAATCATATTTGGGTTTCAAAAGTAATAAAAGTGGTGTTCACTTGTAAAGATTATCTTGCTGAATAAAACTTGTTTGTCACAGCATATTTTCTGCAATAATCCCATGAAAAAATCGGCCTTTTGTGGAGGGAACCAGGGTGATGCTAACTTCTGGGTTGGTCTACAAAAAACGTCATCACTCCATTTCTTCAGTTTTCTCAAAGTTGTCAGAGGAGCTAACAGACTTTTGAGAAATTGCTATAAGACAGGAGGAAGCGTTGAAAGCAGACACCAAGCTAAGCTCAGTAGTTTTAAAGGCGGCTGGTTGGACCAGAGATGGAGTCTGAATTAACCTCAGATGTTTTTCATAGCTTTAATGTGTGAGGTTGCTGGTTGAAGATGTGATTCAGACGTGGAACCTGAACCCTCTGGCTGACCCCTGAAATAATAACCTACAAACCACCTCCACAGGAGGATTATCATCTAGTGCACCAAGGCAGAGAAAATGTGGCGAGACTACAGTATGTCAAGAGAATTATGATCAAATTCACATTAGATTATAGTGCTTTTAGTTGAGGAGTGATATTTGTTATATAACAGCTCTCCATGTTGTAACTAAATGTTACTCAGTGTTCACCTTTATCTGTCAGGCCCGATTCTATTTTTCAACATTTTTCAGCCTCACAGTCTCTTCAGCAGCGAGGAGAGACATTAAAAAATGATTATTACTCTCAAGTTACTTGTGATTTTCGGCTGGGATGACTTTCCAAAAGAGGATCAGCAAAATTGTTCTACTGATGTGTTCCCCAGAATTAGGACCCTCACATCTTCTTATTTTTCCACAGCTCAGTCAAACGATGCTGAAGCCTAATGATTTACGTGTGTGTGACTGATGCCCAGTGGCTTGAGCCCCGCCTTCCCTTTGAGCAGTCACAAGTCCTTGTCGTTTTTCAAAGTGTGTGTTTCGTCAGTGTCTGTTGTCCTCGGTTTATGTATTTGCGTTAAAATTCATTTTTGTTAAGATCTGATGCTCGCATCATAGTTGAGTAGAAGTAGAAAGTAGCATAAAATGGAAATAAACAAGTAAATACTTCAAATTAACACAAGTGACTGCCTGTCTCCTCTTACGTATATGTTAGATTGATGCTTACCAAAAGCTGTACTGTCTTGTTTGTGTATCCTAGAGTCAAAAATCCAGCATCAACGCTCTCCAGGGGGACGATGGCTGTGCTGTGGCCAATGTCTCGGGCAGTCAGTGGTCTGCCACAGCGGACAGTGAAGCGGAGAGAAACATTGCCTTAGAGAAGAGCATGTAGGTGTTGACCTTTACAATAAAGGAATAGTTTAACATTTTGAGGGATAGTCACTTTGTTGCTGAGAATTTGATGAAGAGATTTATATCACTCTTGAGCCAAGAGATGGTTATCTTAGATTAGCATAATGACTGGAGGTCTGGCACATAACCCCCCTACAAAATTGTGATGGGTATTTTAACATTTTTGTGCAGATTAAACAAACAAGATTTAACATGAGAGCTTTAGAGATGTGTTCTGTTAACTGTGGACTACAGTGTGGATATGTGAACCAGTCCTAAAGGGACCCATCGGTTACCTGAGGCCTCAGGCCGGGTTTGGACCAAAATTTACAAAATTTAGAAATTATGTTCAGGTCCGTGTCAGGTTTGGACACATAGGTCAAACTTTAGGCTCAACAGCTGAAGCACTCAAAGGTCAGTTTTGTTTAATGATCGGGGGGGGGAACATCGTACAAACTCAACTGCGTTGGGTTCGGGTCAGGTTCAGACATTATATACTGTAAAATTGTCGGGTCTGGGTCGAGTTGGGACAACACACTCTTGGGCACTACCTGATCCATGCTCCAGTGTGTACAGAGCCAAGCTACTGTAGTCGTTTCCCCTGTCTCACTGTTCAGACATGAAACATGAGAGTGGAATCAAAGTTTTCATCTTACTCGAAGTGTATTTGCCAAAATATCCCTTTTTTATTTCTAGTTTTATTTATTTATTTAAATGCTCATTTCTTTTTATGATCACCATTCATTTCTAAAATCTCTCTCTGACAGATGTGTGCTAACTGAGCTGATAGAGACAGAGAGATTGTATGTGGAAGATCTCAGACTGATAGTGGAGGTGTGTCTCTCTTCAAAGCTTCAGCTAATCTGTTCATGGCATTTATACAAGACAAGATGCTGATTCCTTAATCGATGCTGCAATTCATGTCTTAAACTGAAAGCTTTTTTTTTTTGGAAATATGTGTGTAAAGGGCTATATGGCCACCATGGCTAATCAGGGAGTTCCAGAGGACATGAAGGGGAAGGACAGGATTGTGTTTGGAAACATCCACCAGATCTATGACTGGCATAAGGAGTGAGTCCTCTCAGTTCCTCTGAATTTGAACAATGTCTTAGAGTTTGCACTTATTTTTCTGAGCTTCTCATGTTTCATGATGATTTGGTGTGTGTCATGCCCCCTGTGGCTGTTTGTTTCCTGACTGTGTGAATGTTTATCTGACTGGAGAACTGTTCCTGCCTGACCTTGTCTGCTTCGTGTCACACAGTTATTTCCTGGGAGAGCTGGGGAAAAGTGTGGGTGAACCAGACAGGCTGGCCCAGCTCTTCATCAAACATGTGAGTCTGGTGATCAGTGAGTAACAAGTGTGAAAGAGAGGTTTCTTTCAGTTTGGCTGAAGGTTGCAGTCTTCAGGCCTCGGCCCCCTGCCATCAAGATGTGTCTTCAACTTGCAGATGAGATGTCTTGTAAAAGTTCTTGTAATCAGACTGGCTTCACTAAAGAGCTCTCAGAGTAGACAGTATTATAAATGCTCCAGAGAGTGTGTGGAAATGAGCTGGAAGTGGATGATTGCAGAGCTCCATGAAAAACTCAAACCAACACCCCCACTATGAACTTGTTCTTATTTTAGTATTTTACACTGCACATTGATGTTAAGGTTAAAATAGACCTCTGAATATAGATCAGAATTGAGCACAAACATCAAATGGAAAATATTATCCACAGCAAATGAAGCCATTCTTTCTCTTGCACTGGAACAATGATGATAATGAGTAATAATACTGAGTGAGCAGTAATCCTACACTGATTTAAGTAAACTTCTATAAAACTCTGGAGGGGAATGGGAACACAACAAAAGGGCTCTGAGGTTTTATTCCTTTTCTGTTTGTCTTTTCTTCACATGGCCTCCCATACATATGCAAACATGTCATTTTATTTTAATTATCACATGAACTGTTTTTCTGTCTTAATTTCCCAGGAACGACGTCTTCACATGTATGTGGTTTACTGTCAGAACAAACCCAAGTCAGAGCATATTGTCTCTGAGTACACTGAGACCTACTTTGAGGTGAGTGCAGTTTCATACCACAGACAATTTTAAAGGCTTTTTTTCTGTTCTTTTTGGTTTGAACACTTTCTGTCTTTTGTGTCACCTCAAAGGATCTCAGGCGGCAGCTGGGTCACAGGCTGCAGCTTAGTGACCTTCTCATCAAACCTGTTCAGCGGATTATGAAGTATCAGCTTCTGCTGAAGGTTTGTTGTTTAATGCGACTGTGCGTGGCACTTTTACATGATACCAATCATTTTACATGTATTAGCATCAGATACTACTTCCTGATAAGTCATCATTTATGAAAGGATTATTTGCTGCAATCAATGGCTTTATTAATGGTTAATAAATTGTTTACTACTGCTTCATAGATTGTTATAACCTTTGGGTTGCCGGGTTGTGGAAAATCCTCCTCAAACATGACACTTTGCAATCACTTAAGTTCATTAGGAAGACCCCTCAAAGCCATTAAGCGTTCACTTATGTCATTAATAAAAGGTGAAAGGCTTCTCCCCGCTGCTGTTTTGCCTCTATACAAACGACTGCACCTCAAAGAACCCCTCTTTTAAAATCCTAAAGTTTGCAGATGACCCAAATAAGGTGTTTTTGAATGGATTTTCGTTCCAGATAAGTGGTCAACCACTCTGTTTGGAAAAGTCTTGCTAATGAATTAGAGAGTGAGCTAAAAAGACAAGTGCCATGCTGGAGGAGGATTTTACACATTCTGGCAACCCAGAAGTTTTTCTTATTTTTGGCTTATAACTGATCTATAAAGCATCAGTAAATGCTTTATTAAAGCCATCAAGTACAGCTTATACTGTAAAACCTTTATAATTGGTGTCTTATCAGAAAGTGATGCTGAGATTAAGTGATGCAAAAGGAAAAACAGGAAAGTTAAATCAAACATCAGATTAATGATGCTCATTGCCATACAGTAGTCCTGAAAAAGGTCATGTTTCTTTCCTGTTAAAGTCACAAAACCTCTAAATAAAACTCTCTTTGACTGGCACCCTCAGGACTTCCTGAAGTACTACAGCAGAGCAGGAAGGGATGTTGAGGAGCTGCAGGTAGGAGCTCATTGTGTAAAGATAAAAAAGCAATGAATAAGTATGCAGCAATTTTTATTTTTGCACCAAAATCTTTTTTCTTCACTTACTGATTCTCCTACATCCAATCTCCTCCATCAGAGGGCTGTGGACATGGTGTGTTTTGTGCCAAAAAGATGTAATGATATGATGAGTGTGGGCAGGCTTCAAGGTTTTGAGGTGACAATTTTTTCTTAAAATCCATCATCACAAATTAAACACATATCCAGTTACGTGTGGTCTATTACGGTGTTTGTGACACACTTACTGTTTCAGGGAAAAATCACAGCTCAAGGGAAGCTGCTCCAGCAGGATACCTTCTCTGTCAGTGAGCAGGAAAGCAGCTTCCTGTCTAAAGGCAGGGAGAGGCAGGTCTTCCTGTTTGAGCAGCTGGTCATCTTCAGCGAGCCAACTGATAAAAAAAAAGGCTTCTTGTTGCCAGGGTATACTTTCAAATCCAGCATCAAGGTAAGAATTTTTATTTTCATTGTTAGTTTTATGTTTTTTTCTTAATGCTTAATAAGACTCCTGTGTGCTTGGTAGGTTAGCTGTTTGGGTGTGGAGACACACTTTGAAGAAGACCCATGCTGTCTCGTCCTGACCTCCCAGGGGACTGATGGCAGCGTGACACGGTTCATCATGCAGGCGTCGTCACCAGAAATACAGCAAGCTTGGCTCAGTGACATATTCCAAATCTTAGAGACACAGAGGAACTTCCTTAATGGTGCCAGGGCTTAGTGTTTTTTCAGTAAAAGAGCTGATTAATGAGTTTGGTGCATGCAAATAATCTGGCACCTCTTCCTGTCCGTTGTAGCCCTTCAGTCCCCAATAGAGTACCAACGCAGGGAAAGCAAGTCAAATAGTCTGGGCAGGAACATGAGTTCTCCACCTGCATCAGCATCATGCCTACAGTCTCACTCCATGGCATCCGTGGACCGATGTCAACACCCCGGCCTGCTGTCTCACAACACCTCCCTGTCTTCTCTGCATCTGTCCCGACACAGCCCGACCACTGAGGCGGTGAGTGTACAGCACTGATTCCTTCCAAATGTGCATACATCTGACATCTTATTTATTTGACATCTTTCTTTGTTTTAAGGTTTCCAGATCTTGTGCTGTGACACAGAGAACAGCTCACTCTCCACTTTCTGCACCAGCTCAGTTTGTGCCTAGAGGTGAGACATGACCGTGATGCATCCAATGGTCTGTCGCCCTGCAGCCAACACAGCTTGCAGGTACATCAGGCCACTTCAATTACACATCCTGTGATAAAAGATAATTTAGTTCTTAAGTTGAAGTAGCAATATTACAGTTTATTTCTTCAGTAGAAAGCAGTTTTAGTGATATGTGTAATATGACCAATGCTTATCGGTTGCTGATAATAATGGAATAATATGAACTCCATACTGAACAGCTAAGAGAGAAAATTAGTTAATATTTATGAACTTAACATTTACAGAACTATTAACAACAGCTGGCAATAATCTTTTTACGTACCTCTAGTGGTTGAACCTGTCACTTTGGTGCAGTGATGTACAAGTGTACTCCATGCATCAGCACGCTGTGATTTCACTTCTGCAGAGCGAAGCCAAAGAAAGAAAAACAGGGTTAATATCAGTTTGGCTTTTTGGGACAGAGAATGTTAAAAGCAGCCAAAAGGACTCAAATTTAATTTGTATGTGGCATTCTTTCTTCTAGATGTGTAAACATCTAATGTGTTTGCTTTGGTATCATTACAATTGAATTCATACGATTTTAATGTGGGAGAAATTTGAGCTTTTTGTAACATTAGTGCTTTGTTAGTCATGTTCAGGACTGTCTCCTCACTGTTGCCATAGACTCGTTAGTCAGCTAATGCTAGCTTCCAACTGGTGGCTGTGTTTTGTACAGTTTGTCCCAACCAGGCATCTGTAGTTTACCTTGTTGCTCAGAAATAGACGGCTGAAAAGAAATTAGGTAATGCACCTTTAAAGAGGCTTAATTTAAAGGCAAAGTCATTACTTTATTTTCACTTTAGTAAAAACAAAACTCTGTTAGCACAACTAGTGTAAGTGTTTGTTGTCAGGATCACTGATGATGAGGGGAAATGACCCTCTGGTCGCCTTTGTCAAATATCCTGTTGTTGTCTGTGCATGGATTTGAAAACCCACTTCGTCTAATCTGTAGCCACTGTCATTCAGTCATCCAGTTTATGGAAACCTCACTGACCTACAGCTTTATCTCATTGACTCAGACTTCCACCAAGAGGAGGAAATGCTTTGACCACAGTGCTCTTATTAGTTGGGTTTATCAGATTCCACAAAGTCGCTGTTGTTCTCCCTCTTTGTGTTTTTGGATGAGCAGTGTTTCCTTTCTGCTATGAGTGTACAGCTAACAGGTTTCCTATGTGCCGTCTTTTTGTCTATGATGCTAATCCCTCAGGGAGAAGTCAGGCTTTCTCTTCTCAGTGTCTGTTTCTGAACAGCACGACTTGGCTTTTTGACCTGTTGTAAAAGCCAGTGGCAGTTAAATTAAAGCATCATCTTAAAGTTGTAGTTTTTCATGTTGTGCGTGTCAGCATTGGAGCCTCACAAAACTAGACATTTTGTATATATACACCCTTTTAAAGCTGCACAGATCAGTCTTTTTATATCAGCAATGGATCAGATGTCTATATGATGTGCAAGGGATCGACTGTAGTGATGAACACAACTAATCTCAGTGCAGCAGAGCATTTTGGCATCTTGCAGATTATTGTTTAGGTTGTTTCATCCACAAATGTTCAGTTTTAATCTGGTACCATTTATTGCACTCTTCCCCCTCATTTGCCGTCACATTTAGCAACTAGCTGTCCAACATAGTGGAGCATGTTTCTCAGGAGTTGGTAGAGAATAAAGCTGGGCTAATATTGAACCTACATTCATCTAGTGACCAGAAACATGACTCCAAATTAATTATTATGTTGACTTGTATCTGCTGGATGTTTAAATAAGATGAACTGAACATAATAAATAAGCTAAATATACTGTTTGCTATTATGTGGTAATATATAAATGAAAAAGTAATGCTGTTTTAAACAAATGTTCATATAATTTTGTATATAAATTTTGATTTACAATCTTTAGTCAAGATTTGTTTTATCTTTATATTGGAATGATATAATTTACTATCTTTTTAGTTCTTATCTCATTTTTTTTACCCTCTGGTGCATTAGCAATGAGGAACATTTTGTCTGAATGTGGCTACTGTAGTTAAAATTGATTTCCTTAATTTATTACACTAATTTATTATTCACATTTAGGGCATCCAGACAGCCAGAATCAGTCCTCTCTTAATTTATTGCTTTTTCCTTCATCTCATGCCGTGTCTGTCATTTTCCAGTGGGGCTTACTCAGCACATCTACACACCAACCCAGATCGGCTCATGGAGACCTCATGTTCTCCTCTTTTGAATTTTACGTAGTGTGTCCTCCCGGGTCTGAGAGGACCGGAACAGAGTGAATGCGTATAAGTCATCATAATCAAAGAAGTTTTAATCTGAAACAACCAGAGGACAGGAGGAGCTAATTCCTAGTCCAACACTGCAATCGATTCTTGAAGAACAGGACACCATATCTCATACGTTCAGAATCAGAGGCGGCCGATGGGTGACGAAACTTGTTGTAACCCTGTGTTCTCCTTTTTTGAATTTTACGCCGAGTGTCTTTGGGTCTGAGTGGACCAGAGCAGCTGTATGGCTTATAAGTCATCATAATCAAAGTTTGTAAATCTCTGACTGGCTTCCAACCTTGGCCACATGATCGATCATGACATCATCACAAGAGCCCACGTGGACCTTTGTATGTAGCCCTGTGGATGGGCCAGCATCATAAAAGATGCAAACTAGACCCACCAATAGGTCGTAAACATGGCACATTGGTCACACCAACAGTAAGTGGCCAAGAGCGCCAGCCCCCCGCTTCTGTGTTTGAGCTGGGGGGTTTGAGTTGGGGACTGGTGTGTGTGTGTGTTTGTGTGGAATTGTTGTGGGCTGTTTGTGTGTCAATTGGCTTTCAACAAGGTGACTTCAAAGGGGTCAATGTGAGGCTGACGACATTCACTCTGTTCGGGCCTGACAGACCCGAAGACACTCGGCGTAAAATCAAGGTTTTTTTTTAACTGGGTTTTATGCAACACAGTAGGTACACACTGAACATGGAAGTAAATGGAATAATAATCAATCAGTTTTGATCATGGAGTTTCTCGATGTTCTAATACTTTTTGATGGAAAACATTCACAAAAGATTTTGGGAACCACTGAAAGCTGGAAAACTTTAAACAAATGTATATAATGGTTGTATATCTGTGTTTACCTGTCTTCATTCAACATTGTTGTGATTTGTTTTTAGCTGTATGTTTATTGTTGTCTCCTGTAAGTCCATTAAGAGCTGTTAGAAACCAGAGATACATTTCTTGTATGTGCACTGGGCCAACAAATTGCTTCTGATTCAAAATCTGGCACTTTTTCTTGTTAAGTTTTATCTGCAGTAACTTTTAAATATGAACCTGCAATATTTGAGTGATCTCCATTGTTTCACGTCTTGTATCATTTCCTGTTAATACAAAGTACCAGTATAGTGCATGCTGTATACAACTGGTATGTCTGCTAGTGAGTGTGTGTGGAACTGGGACACAGCTGGTGCTTTTGTCATAACGATGGTAATAAATGCAAAAAACAAATGCTATAAACATTTGTGTGTTTTACTGTGCAACACTCTGGTCCTGTCTTTACTTTATGTTTCATATGAATATTATTCTGCCAGAGACATTTCACCATACTCACCAGTGTGAGCTACTCTGTTGAGACGTGGGTCAAAGCCGACCTGCCGGACTTTGTCTGTACAAGCCAGGAAGAAGTTAACGACTGTGTCAGTGACAAAACAGCTGGGGAAGCCTTGGAGGACATGATGAAATCCTCTACTCATGCGGACACAGTGCCCATC